GGAGTGCAGTGGCGTGATCTCGGCTCACTGCAACCTCCACTTCCTGAGTTCAAGCAATTCTCCTGTCTCAGCCTCCAGAGTAGCTTGGACAACAGGCGCCCGCCACCACGCCCAACTAATATCTGTATTTTTAGTTATTAGTAAATACTAATATTTAGTATTTTTAGTAGAGACGGGGTTTCACCATATTGGTCAGGCTGGTCTTGAACTCCTGACCTTGTGATCCACCCACCTCGGTCTCCCAAAGTATTGGGATTACAGGCGTGAGCCACCGCGCCTGGGCCCGGCTAATTTTGTGTATTTTTAGTAGAGATGGGGTTTTGCCACATTGACTAGGCTGTTCTGGAACTCCCGGCCTCAAGTGATCCACCTGCCTTGGCCTCCCAAAGTGCTGGGATTACAGGTGTGAGCCACTGTACCGGCCTATTTTTGAACAATTTTAATGTGGTTGTAGCCGCAAGGAGGGAATGACGCAGACAGGGAGAATCAGGAAAGAGGAGCAGGGCAAGGAAATCAGGAAGAGCTTGGAATAGCAGACTGATGACTTTATTCCTAGGGTGATGGCGAGCCAGGGAAGGTGTGACAGAAGGAGGACTGGCCAGACCTCTGGGGTGGATGGATGAGACCCCAACTGGTAATGGATTCTTCAATGTTCTTGGCATAAAACCCAGACTCCTCCCCACTGCTCCCACTGGCCTCTGTGGCAACACTGGGTTCCTTGTGGTCCCTGCCATGGGGCCTTTGCACGCCCCGTTCCTGTTCTCTCCACCCTAGCCCCACTGCCTCTTCGATCTGGTTAGCTTCTCAGTAGACCCAAGGTTCAACATCCCGTTCTCTGGGACATGCTCATAATTATACATTACGTATGACCATCTAACTCACCTTCACTTCTCCCATGACACTGTGACCTTCATTAGAATCGGAACTTTGCCCATCTTTTTTGGGGGGTTGTGGGGGAAGGGGTAGAGACTGGGTCTTGCTGTTTCCCAGGCTGGTCTTTCCTGGCCCCAAGCAACCCACGCACCTCAGCCTCCACTGCTGGGATTACAGGCCTGAGCCACTGCACGCAGCCCAACCTTGCCTGTTTTGTCCTTGTGGTCCCTGCTATATCCTCTCTCACCCGCCACAATGCCCACATCAGTGAGTGATCAGAAAACAACTGAAAATGAGCTGGGCATGGTGGCTCACACCTGTAATCCCAGCACTTTGGGAGGCCGAGGCAGGTAGGTTCCTTGAGGTCAGGAGTTTGAGACCAGCCTGGCCAACATGGTGAAACTCTGTCTCTACTAAAAATACAAAAATTAGCCCACGTGGTGGCACACACCTGTAATCCCAGCTACTCAGGAGGCAGAGGCAGGGGAATCACTTGAACCCAGGAAGTGGAGGTTGCAGTGAACTGAGATCGTGCCACTGCACTCCAGCCTGGGTGACAGAGTGAGACTCCATCTCCATCTCAAAAAAA